TTGGATGTGTTTGATGGTGGGGAAAACTTCCCTTCACTTCAAGGAAAACCAAAGCGCTAAGAAACACTGACATCTCTGACATAGGTCAGTGCAGTAAGTGTTAAGTAGAATAATTTTAGTACTCCTGGGAATTATTTACTCTTGTTTACTGTATTTTAATGGATCTCTTTTTTCATGTTTTGTGATCCAGGTCTCCAGAGGTGAAAACAAATGTCTTGATAAACACTCCTATCTTCTTAAGGAAGTGTGGTTTTAATCCCATTTGGCGAGCATTAAATGGGGTTGATGGGCATTAGCCTGAATAATTTCTCCCTCCCCTGTAAAGTAAAACAGTCTATCTGCTGGAGAACCTTCAAAAAGCACTGGGAGTTTTACCAAGACTTTGAAAAAATCATGAAAATGTCAGTGTGCTTAAGGCCTAGAAGGAGGTTTTGAATTGTGCCAGCATGTTTATGAATAACTTTTACATCTCATTGCAGTCCTACATAGCTTCCTGCTTCCTTCCTCATTAAAAAAGAGAAAATGCATTTGTGTGTTCAAGCCTCTGTTCAGGCATGAAAGAACTAAGACTGAACAATATATGCCATAATGACTCAATAAGATGGATTTCTATTAGATCGTAAGCATTTTGGGGGAAGGGACTGGCACTTATGTTTATACAGTACACAGCTAGGTCTCTAGATGCTAGTGCAATAGAGACATGAAATAACAACTTTAGGCAGAAGCAAGCTGACTATTCTCTCTTCCCTCTCCCCCAAACACAAATTGGTAAATGTCTCTTCTTCCTAGTTGGTGAGGGAGGCTTTCCTGGTTTCCTTCTAAGCTCTTCTGAAAAAGACATCTGATTTTTAAAAAACGTTGATAGTTTAAGATAAACTTTTAGTCCCATGATCATAAATAAATTTGAAACAGTGACTCAGGAGAATTTGGGGTTGTGGGTTAACTCCATATTGGCAACTTAAAACAATTTTCATAGAAATGTAAGGCTGGAAGGGGCCTTGAGAGATCAAGTCCAGCCCCCTGCACTGAGGCAGGACCAAGTAAATCTAGACCATCACTGACAAGTGTTTGTCCAACTGGTTCTTAAACTCCAGTGATGGGGATTCCACAGTCTCCTCTGGAAGCCAATTCCAGAGCTTAATTGGAGGTACAAAGTTTGTCCTAATATCTAACCTAAATCATCCTTGTTGCAGATTAAGCCCATTACTTCTTGTCCTGTCTTCAGTGATATGGAGTACAATTGATCACCATCCTCTTTATAACAACTGTCTTCAAATATGTTAAGGGCTATCAGGTCTTTCTCCTCTTCCCCGCCCCCAGTATTCTTTTCTCATGACTAAACTTGCCCAGTTTTTCTAACCTTTCCTCATAGGTCAGTTTTGTTGCTCTCTTCTGGATTCTCTCTGATTTGTCCACATCTTTCTTAAGAATTTCTCCAGAATTGGACACAGCACTCCAGCTGAGCTCTCACCGCCGCCATGCAGAGTGATTACAACCAGTTGCATTTCTTTTTAAAACAGTGTGAAGAAAATCCTGGCTTCTTTTAGAAACATAGGAAATGTTTTCCTCAAGAAGGTAGACTGCGGTCCAGACGATTTTATCACTTCCGTGGAATACACTGATATGATCTATATGACTGCCTCTAATTTCCCCCTGGCAAAATTTCAGTGAGTTTATAGTACTGCTGCGAGATTTATCCCTTATTATCCTCACCAACATCACTTATAAAGATGTAGGATAAGTAAGTGGAAAACAGAAGCTTGTTCCCCTTTTTGGTTGGCTTTCTGAAAGTCTGTATTTCTGAGTGTCTCAGGCTTCTTACAGTCCCTAAATTAAACCTTTGCAGATTCCAATCCACCAGTATGGTCTAATGGCTCAACTCTTCCTTGCTTGACAGGCTGCATTTTCCACATCTTCAGTTTAAATTGCATCTTCAGACTCTTTCTTTTTGGTTTAGTTGATGACCTCATTTTACAGCCAATCCAACAGATGCAGTTTCATGTCAAGAGGGAGTACAGAAAGGCTGGTCACGGTTGCACTAATTCCAGCATTGCCAGCCAAAAGAGTATTGCTGGGCTAGCATTTGTATACACCTGAGCAAGAGCTGTTTGAGAATAACTGCAGCTATGTGTGGGGCTCCTGGGCTGAGCACGGTTACTTTATTATCTTGATTTCAGTTGTTGCTTGTTTCTAAGAATCTGTCTTTAGGTGACCCTGAAGAACTGTTAGAATTCTTTGTATGGGCCTCTCGTAATAGGCAAGCATATAGTATATACTTATAGTTCTGTGCATGCAAAGATTTTTGGTTCTATGGACCGATGGGCTTCTTGTTAAAAGAGATCTTCAGAGGTTAAATAGTCTTTCTGAGCATTTGAGGATTTTCTGTACTTTAATACAAATAGAGTTTTCAATGTATAGAATATGGTCATAAATATTGTTTGAGAATGCAGTTAGCACAAGTTTTTTTTTGGTTTTTTATGTTCTCTTTTTACTGTAATGTGACTGTTTTGGTAACTTGCAGCTTTCCCAGGGTAACCTTGGAAATGTATAATGTAAGTATAGGTTATAAAGTTCCATTTCCTATTAAGGGATCAACTTCAAATAATACTAACACATTACAACATTACTCACTACAATACTAAACTACAGCTCTTCAAGGCATGGACTGTCTTACTGTGTGTTTGTACAGCATCTAACACAGTGGAGCCCTGATCTTGAATTATTGTATATTGGGGTTGGTGGTATTGCTGTGCCCTTTCCAGCAGGGATTAGAATCTGGGTCTTGCACGCCAAGGCTGGCGGAGCCTGTGAATTTGAGAGCCCTCCACATACAGGGGACTTGGACCCTGGTGCTGAGAGCGCCTCATTACTTTGTAGAATCTCTCTGGTTTGCTTGAGTTGTGCTAGTAAAATACAGAAGGAGATACAGACTCACTGTAATGTAGGTTCCTGGTGCATGTCTGAAAACAAGGAACCTTGTAAATACTGTGGAAATAAGAGCTTCTTTTTGGAGTCCCAGATGGGACTGGAGGAATCTCTTAATTGGAGCTGGGGCAGTGCGCTGTTGTATTACATGAATGGCTTTGGAGACTTAGAAGTACATCAGTGAAATCTGTAACCTGAAATCAGTCATTAGCAAAATCCTAATGCTGTATCCTTGCTTCGTCTGTTCAGTTCCTGGATGAATGAAATTGCTGCACATGGGCAGCATGAGTATAGAATCCTCTTAACAATGTAGCCCTTCTATTGCAATACAACTTGGTCTGTCAGTGGAAGTTCACTGTCATTAGCACTTTGGTTTGCATACTGCTACGTACCTTGAAGATATTTGAAACCTTCTTTCAGATTTGTTATAAATGAAATTTTACTGTGAGTTCATCATAAGAAGGTTTGTTTTCTGTATAATAACTGAGACGGTTGCTCAAAGGAAAGCTTTGATAACTCAGGCCTTTCCATTTAAAATGCCAAAGTTCTATTTTGTATGCACTGTTGTAGCCATGTTGGTCTCATGATATTAGAGACACAAGGTGGGTGAGGTAATATCTTTTATTGGACCAACTTCTTTCTATTGGTGAGAGAGACGAGCTTTGTAACTCACCCACCTTATCTCTCTAAAGTTCTATTTTGTCTTTTGTACCAATGGAAGCCCTGAATTTGGAAGAGTATCTTCTAAATAGTGAATGATCAATCAGCTGATGAAGCAGAGATGCACAACACTTATTGATTGGACTGGCTGAAATAATTTGAACTAGTTTCCTCAAATTCTTCATAGGTTTTTTGAGTTGTCATTTCAGCAAACCAAAGAAGTTACAATTATTTTAACATTTTCAAATATACTAGAAGCATAATTACTAAGGAAAACGTGCATTCTGTAGACCACTTTGCTCAAAATTCCAGGAAATCGAGGTATACATGTGTGTAAAAGCAATTCCACAGATTATACTTGTTACGAATCAAAAGCCTTTATTTTGTTGTTCAGCACAGTCTGAAAGAGTGTATGGGGAGAACCACTGCTCACCACATGATACGTAAAATATATTAATCTTTTTTACTGGAATGGAATTTCAGAGCTCTCCACTCTGCTGAAAACTTACATCATTTGAACTTAGAGAGACAAAGTGGGTGAGGTAATATCTTTTATTGGACCAACTTCTGTTGGTAAGAGCAACAAGCTTTTGAACTGCACAGAGCTCTTCCTCAGATCTGGGAAATGTACTGAGAGAGTCACAGCTAAATACAAGGTTCAACAGGTAGTTTAGCATAAGTAGTTAGCACACATTCTAAGGCACCATTCAAGGTAAACGCAAGCTCAGTTTGAAAAGACTATAAAGCATGTGAGATAATCAGAAAATCTAATTGCTGGATTGGCTCTAACCCTATAATTAAATAATAATACTAATGGAAATTTACCTTCCACCTTATTTTTCAATTTCACTAATCATAGGTAGTGTAAGAGACTCTTGATTTAAACATTGGCAGGCACAATGCAGAAGAAAAGCTTAAGCATTTATAGAAAGCAAAAATGTGGTTAATGCACCTACACAGATCCAAATTACAAAGAATTTTGAATCTGAAGCTTGAAAAAAGGACTTTTATACCTGGAAATTAAATGGCTGTGAATTACTTACAGTACACTGATCTGAAGACTTTTCCTTGTTTGTATCCAATAGCAATGAGGTGGATATTCAATAGCAAGTAGATGGATATTCTGGAATACTCTTGAAATTCTGCTAGTCGATCAGTATAAAATAATGCAATTATTCTGACTTTAGAAACCAGACTTCCATGGAAGAAACTCCCCTTTCCAACATTGGCCCTGATTCTGCAAAGACATGAGCACATGCTTAACTTTACTTATGCATTGTGAGAAGTACCATTGAAGTACACACATTTTTGCAGAAGCAAGTTGATGGAGTGTAATCTGTCAGGTGGTTCGGTTTTAAAATGAAAATCTGTTGTTTCAGCTATGTACTGTAATAATCATGGCAATCTTTCAGACTAACAGGGATGCCAAAGGAAAAATATGATCCTCCAGATCCTCGCAGAATTTACACCATCATGTCAGCAGAGGAGGTAGCCAATGGGAAGAAGTCTCACTGGGCAGAATTAGAAATCTCGGGTGAGTTTTTTCAAATCTTGGCATGGCTAAATTGCTGATTAGGAATAGCTCTTGAGGTATAGTAACACTGATATGAACTCTTTTCTTATAAAGATGCTCTGTTTCAGAGAAGGGAGAGAACATAATTAAAGAAAAACACTTCTAGGATCACTCAAGAAAATTTCCAGTTTAGCCTCAAAACACTGTCAAGTTTTGAGTTTGAATAGATTTGGTAAAAACTAACTTGCAAAAAGCAGGTTTGCTCCTGGTTTTTTTTCTTCTTTTCTTTCCATTTCTCCTTCCTACTCAAAATAAGTATTGGATGGTCATTTAAAACCTGTTAGTAACGAAATGTTGCAGATAAATTCTGCTGAGTGAGTTCAGTTCTTCGTCCTGGTGTATATTTCAGCACTTATTTAGGGTAAGAAATCAAAATTCCATTCTATTACCAGGAGTGGGATTTCCACATCTGATCTTTCCATGTAGCACATTAAAAGTGTACCCCTCCATTCCCTATGACTTGTGCCTATTGCCTTGACATAATAAAAAGCTGTTTGAAGACCTAGTTCTTTACATTTTCTCTTTTAGGTAGAGTGCGGTACTTAAGTACGTCACTTTGGTCACTGACTCACTTGACTGCTCTACACCTCAATGACAATAATCTTGTTCGCATTCCACCTGATATTGCCAAGCTCCATAATCTGGTTTACCTGGATCTATCATCCAACAAACTCAGAAGTTTACCAGCAGAACTAGGAAACATGGTATCTCTCAGGTGAGAAGCATTACCCTGGTTAACTTCCCAAGAGTCTGTCAATGATGCATATTTGAACAAGTGAACATGAACTTTGTCGTTCAACTTTCTGAATAGATTTTTCTGAAAAACTCTTAACAGACTTACAGTAATATAGACTTGCAAGGCAAATTAGTTTTATTTTTAAGGAATCCTCTGTAGCATTAAACCTCCAAATCCCTGAATGTTTTGTTTTGTTTTTTAAAGTATCCCCATATGTCTGGCTAATGTTTTACATGGATAATTCACTAATTACATTGAGCTAATGTCCGTTGCTACAAATGTTCAATGCTGGCTTTCAGCCAGCTTGCAAATAAAAAAACCCTTTCAACTAGCCATTGAGCCCACAAGTAGCACTTCTTCCCTTCCAAATAAAATGCTTACTCAGTTTAAAAAAAGATTTTTTTTCTTATCCCATTTAAGTGACCTTCAAAGGTCAGTACAAAAATTAATGTAATTTCATGCTGCCTAAACTTGAGACCTTGTGCATGTATGCTGTCTCCTTTCTCTGATGTATTTTGGTATTTAGTTCCTTATCTTTGAACTTAGAGATGTAAAAGGCTGTAATCTTATTTATAGAAAGTATAACCATTTTAAAACCAAAGTAGGCATCCCTCAAGAGTATCACAGCATATAACGTCATGAGAATGATCCTTCTAAAATGATGCTAATAAACTACTTTTTCATCTATTGCAGGGAATTGCTTTTAAATAACAATCTGTTACGGGTTTTGCCTTATGAACTTGGACGGCTCTTCCAGCTACAAACCCTAGGTTTGAAAGGTAAGTGCACTTCTAATAATTTTCCTGATGGATATTTTTGGGTTCTGTAGCTTTCCACGGTATTTTATAACTCCCTTCCAAAGTAAGTCATAGTCTAAATTTGTGGCATGCATGGCTGTTTCTGCTGTATTTGCTCCAGAGACCTTCTTTCTCCCATTCCTATAACAAAATTATACCTAATAAATAGAACTGTCTAAATTATACTAAAACATTATTTTATAATAAAAATTCTTATCCACATCAGATCTACTAACAGCTTTATTTAGATGACTCTATTGTTCTTGGAGAGAATAATTTTAACACTTAACTTGAAACAGAACAATTAAATTATAGAAAGCTACCAAATCAGTCTTTATGAATCTGGATACTCTTATTCCCATCCTGTGCAATGAGCAAGAAGGAGGAATTCACAATAATAGGTATGACAGACTGACTACCTGTGAGGACTGTAGAGGAGTTATTAAAAATGTTCTGATTGTAAGTTAATAACAATTTAGTCTGAATTCTAGTCTCCTAATAAACATCAATATTTACTCAGAAGATGTATAACTTTTTGGGAGGATATATAAAACAAAAAGCAGGCATTGCAGAGAACAGATCTGGACAAGAACCACGTTGTGGAAATTTCCCTTTTCTAGCAAAATAGTATTGCATGGTGTTCTGTTTGCACCCTGTCTTTGTCCAATAATATGATTACATTTTTACTTTAAAAAATATTCTCCTGCACATGTTCTACTGGAAGAATATTGCAGGTTCTCCATATGAAAATAATTCTGCATTCTTAAAAAATTCAATATATTGGCCTTCAATTTACAGGAGGCTGAGATGGCAAGAAAGATACTCTAGAAGGATTATGAATGCTTTTAGAAGGGGAGAGTAGATGAGTTTTCAGGGCTGTGAAGGTTGTTTTAGAAGAGCAAAAACTGGCTGACTAATTAAATAAAAATGCATATACTTCGCTGATAAAGAGAGTATGTATTACATTAGAGTTCGTATTTTGAGGACTTGCGTTTTTAGGGAAAAAATTCCCAAAACTTTCCGAATTTGGCAAAATGTCCTGCAGATTTCTAGTAACCCTATTCATAAATTTATTTATTTTTTGGTGGGGGGTTTTTTGTTTTGTTTTTTAAAAAACTTTGTTTAAAACTTGGTCTGTGTCCAAAGTTTGCTAATTTGGAAAATTAAGCAAAATGTGTTCGGCCAGATTTGAGATAAGCAAGGGTGAATGAAGTCTCCTATAGGATAGTAGCAAAAGACTGATCTTTGAAAGTTGAAACTCTGCAAGTAAAATACTCCACACTGGGCAGAAGAGCATTCTCTGGGTTTGAGGAAAAATCAGTTTTTCAGTTTGGCATAACTGTCAAACTATGCACTGTGCATACTCTATACGAAGTTTCAAAATCCTTGAGTCTGGGTGCTCTTGGGGAGAGATGCATTCTGCATGCATGCACAATTAGGAAGTGCATTGTGAGGCTGTTTCTCCTGAAACCTCTCTATTTTACCCAGAAATTGTTGGAAAGTATAATTGCTGGCTCTTATATTCAGTTCAGATTTTTGAAGCTTTTGGGCTTTGTAATATGAAATGCATGCAGCCTGGGAAAGCTTGAGAATGATATCAAGCATTTGCCTCAGCGAGACTTAACATTTGCCCCGGAGCAGTGCCCATCCACCTATGCATGTGTTTAATGGTGCAGTTTGAGTGTACATGTCATAGTGTATTGGTTCTCAAACTTTTGTACTGGTGACCCCTTTCACATAGCAAGCCTCTGAGTGTGATCCCCCCTTATAAATTAAACCCCCTTTTTTTATATTGAACATTATTATAAATGCTGGAGGCAAAGCGGGGTTTGGGGTGGAGGCTGACAGCTTGCAACCCCCCATGTAATAACCTCGCAACCCCCTGAGGGGTCACGACCCCCAGTTTGAGAACCCCGTCATAGTGGCACTGCACATTTTTGCTACAAGTAGCTTATCTGTGTCCTCGAACTGCCCATTTTGTCCTTCCCTCACTACTTTTAAAAAAAATAAATATCAGAAAACAATGTTTTTATGCAATAATTAAGTGCATAATTTCCAAATATAAAAACAAATGTTTTTAGCGAGTTTGAAGTAAAAACTATAAACCACTTAAGTTACTGCTCAGTTGAAATGAAATGAAAGTCTGCTATTATCTATGCTAGCTATTTCTATATCATCTATCATTATTATATTCTAGAATTATAGAAATTGGAAATGGAAAAGACCGAGTGGATCATCTTGTCCATCCCCTCCTAGGGGAACTATTCCTCCATTTCAGAAAAGTTCAGTTGCAGTGCAAGTTTTGATTCGGGTAGCTAATGATCACAGTTTTGTTCGGAATCTCTTTCAGGCAATCCTTTATCACAGGATATTCTCAGCCTGTACCAGGACCCAGATGGAACACGAAAGCTACTGAACTACATGCTTGACAATCTAGCAGGTAACACAGCCAAAAGTTTAGTTTGATATACATATCTAACTGCCAAACACTTTCACTTGTATTTGATAGCATTGAATTGAGGGTCTGAGTTTCTGAATCACTTCTAGCTGCTTTTATGTTACTGTCAAGTCCAGGGACTCCCGCCACTAAAATAACGAAATTGATATAGTAGTATTGTAACAGCTATAACTTGTGGTAGAGCATGAAGAAATCTAGCATCCTAGGTAACTGGATGGCTCAGGGTTTAGTATATGGAATATGGTGCTCTTTACCGCTAGATCACTGGTATGAGTCCAGAACTGACCAGTAATGACAAAAGGTTTTGGCTTCCTAAAGCTCTTCCTTGAAGGGATCTGCACATGCAAAAGAAGTTGGTGAGCATCAGTGTGCCCTAAATCTATAAAAACCTGCATAATTGTTGGCAGTCTCAGTAGAGACAAGGATTAATTTGACAAGGAACCAAACTATCCTTTCGTCCGGAGAGGTTGAGGTACGTTTGCTGGGTGACATGGGAAAGGCTTGCACAGTCACTGTCCTTGTTTTAGACCGGGGGTGGGCAAACTGTTTGGCCGGAGGGCCACATCGGGGTATGGAAATTCTATGGCGGTTCCATGAATGTTCAGGAAATTGGGGGTAGGGATGCAGGAGGGGGTGAGGGCTCTGGGTGGGGTGGGGCCAGAAATGAGAAGTTCAGGGTGCGGGAGGGAGCTCCAGGTTGGGGTGCGGGGGGTGAGGGTTCTGGGGTGGGGCTGGGGATGAGGGGTGCAGGACGGGGCTCCAGGCTGGGACCAAGGGGTTTGGAGGGCGGGAGGGGGTTCAGGGCTGTGTCAGGGGGTTGAGGTGGGGGAGGAGTGTGAGGGCTCCAGTTGGGGGTGCAGGCTCTGGGATGGGGCTGGGGATGAGGGGTTTTGGGGTACAGGAGTGTGCTCCGGGCTGGGACCAAGGGGTTTGGAGGGCGGGAGGAGGATCAGGGACTGGGCAGGCTGTTGGGGCACGGTGGGGGCTCAGGGGTGCAGACTCCGGGCGGCACTTACCACAAGCAGCTCCCGGAAGCATGTCCCTCCTCCGGCTCTGAGGCGCAACCAAGTGGCTCTTCGCCCTGCCCCGTCCGCAGGCACCACCCCTGTAGCTCCCATTGGCTGGGAACCATGGCCCCTGACCCTGACCCGCTCTCCTACTGGAGCTGAGGGCCGGATTAAATGGTCTGATGGGCCGGATGTGGCCTGCGGACTGTAGTTTGCCCACCCCTGCTTTAGACCTTATTAGTAAAAAGAGGGCTTCAGTTTCCTATTTTGGTATTTTTCACTCTTCTTATATTCAGATTGCAAGCAGCATGATTTCAAGTGCTCATAAACTTCAATCCAGAAATACCACTGTGATTAAGGATCTCACACATTTGTTTTAAATCCTGTTCTTATGGGGTTATAACTTAGCCACTCTTAATTCACTGCTAAATATTTTAGCTTGTGTCCAGTTTCCCCCCTTCTCCCTCCTCCAAATATTTGGACACAAACTGAAATAGAGGTTGGTTGTAGGTTTGTTTTATTTTTTTTAAGTATTTGGTGTATTTGAGAGATTTACTTTGTAGTCCTGTCTACAAACAGACTGTCTTTTTGAAGAAGCATTAAATACAAACCTTAGTAAGATTTACAGGGTCCTTTTGGTAAGACATTCTTTAAACATTAATGACTTCCCATAAATTTTCTTTAGTGCAGTTTGTTAGAAACTTCAGTTTATATGCAAATTGAATAAAGAAAAGTCAATCCATCACACCTGGACTTGACAGGTATGTGTTGTAAAATTATTACACACAATTTCCTCAATACCATTTTAAAAAAAGGCTTTTTTTTCTTGGACAAAGACCTTTGTAGTTTTATTGCCACTCATGCAGTACATGCAAACTGACTATGGCATAAATAAGGTCCCCAGGGAGAGGGATTTCAGTAACAATACCAGATGAGAAAATTTGGTCAACTTCACAGTGGGGCAGAAGTGTTTCAGAGACTGCCTTGTGATATATTAAGAGCAACAGAGGATTCCCAGGTGCTGAGAAACCACGGAGAAGCTATATGATTGCTGAATTTGCTATTTTATTGCACTTACAATTTTTAGGCCTTTTGTATGATGTTTCATACCCCTCTTTCTTTCCTTGAGCCTAGGAATTTCATGTGATTGGGGCATAGCTCGCTCCTCTCTGAGTTTGTCTAGCACACTATGGAGCAATGCTGCTGAGCCATCAGCTCGATTGTAAATTAAGATAGTGACTTACATTGATACTTAGAAACCCTAAATTAAATGAATCACTCTTGTAATTTCAGTTCATCCAGAGCAGCTGCCTTCAAGGCCGTGGATTACTTTAAAAGAACGAGACCAAATTCTGCCCTCAGGTAACTTTGTGGCCTGTCTCCCTCCTTTTCCGTCAATGCTTTGCTGACATTTGAAAAACACATCAAATGTTTGTCCTTAACAGTATTAAGCATAAGTTTTATGTCTTTAAAATTTGGGTCAGTCTAAAAATAATAGCATATTTTTAAACTTTCAACAATTTATTCGATGGCAAAGATCTATTTAGATTATTGCTAACTGACTGCAATAATCTCTAAATCATACAGAGAATTAAAGTTTAAAAAAAAAAAGCCGTGAACTGTTTTGGGTTCTTCCCTGTGCCAACAATGGCCCCCCTCTAGGTGTTTTGTGCCACCGGATGAGAAGAATACCACAGCCTCGCCTGTGCTTTTCACTTGGTGCAAAAGCAGTTACCTTCCCAAGGTCAGAGTTCAGTGTCTCCTAGGTGTACAGCCAGTGACTGCCCTGATAAGGCAGATACCGAATTCAGTTTGACTTAAACCAAGGAAACTTTCATGACCGTTTCACAGAAATAGTGAAAATCATAAAATAACTGCACACAAATACCACAGGCAACACCTCTAGACTGCTACTGAATGTAGTTCCAGAAGCTCTTGGATCTGTTTTTGTTTTCCTTTCCTTCTCTCTGCTCCCCTGGTCCTTCAGCTGCAATAGGACAAGCACAGGAATGCCTGGTACTGAAGTTAGTTTGGTGCCCTCTGCTGCTGCTTGTACTGAACTGCAAACATCCACTTTAAGAAAAAAAAAAAATTAAAAATGGAGCAGCTTTCCTTGGCCCAGTACAAGTTCCTCTCTCTCCTCCTTTTTTTTCTTGTTAATAAAATTGCTTGTTTTAGAACAAGAATACTTTTTTCTGTTCAAACTGAAATGCATTACGTTAGTGATAACACAGTAGGGTCTTCAGAGAATGATGTGGCTTCAGAATCACAGTATTGCACCAATGCCGTTAGTGTAGCGAATAATTAAGGCTGCCAGTGATTCTGTTAAGGTTTCTTTTTTTAATAACAGAGGTATAGTTGTAACTGTCCGTAATATGGATGGAACATTGTCAGTGTTTTCTCCAAAAAAGGTTATTCGTGACATTTCTGCTATATTTAGCCTTCTGCTGGGCATGCATACATCAACTTCCTGTGCTGTTTAACTTTTTTTAAAATTAATTAATCTCCTGCCTCCTTAAAGTAGCTAAAGCAATAGATATTAGCTCTTGGCTCAATTAGCAATCGTTTCAGCTATATTCCTTGCTTTTCCCAAACAAAAATCCTGTAGAGACCCTTGGCTCCTCCGGATTCTTGCTGAGTCACTAAAGTGCAAAACAAACCCTAAAATAGGGACCTGATTGACATATCGGTTGCATTTACAACTCCCATTGATGTCAGTGGGAGATGCATGTATGCACCGACCACTGTACTTTCTTTTAACAATAGTTGTTTCCAGGTTTCAGTATGCCCAAAATGAGTAATAGTGCAAACGTAGGCTAAGCAACTAAGAACTCTGCGAACAGTTACCTTTTCCACAAACAGATGCATAATTTGCACATGCAAGTGAGAGGTGCTTTTTCCCAGAGTTTAGCCTTGTATGCCAGTTGTTGGCTCAAAGGACTCCAGTTAATTAAACTCTTAGGGGAAAAACCCAGTGCTCTTATTGAGATATTGACTTACTCTCCAACACAGGGGATGTAAGATACAATAATAGGTAACTGAAGAAAAAATACTATGTTTTATCTATATTCATCAGTAATCCCCTCTTATGTTTCCTCCTAGCTTCATTCACAGTTATGTGTTACAATGTGTTATGTGATAAATATGCCACCCGGCAGCTATATGGCTACTGCCCGTCCTGGGCATTAAATTGGGAGTATAGAAAAAAGGGAATCATGGAAGAAATCGTGAACTGGGATGCAGATATCATTAGTCTTCAGGTAACAGTAACAAAACAACAATTTTTTGGCTTTTATCTGAAAACAGAATACCACCTTTTGAGCCAATATTCTGTTCAAAGCATTTTATCCTAACTGTTAGTGGTGAACCTCAAAGTGTTCGTTACAGAATGTGTGCATAGTTGCCTTGTTGTAATTTTAAAATGATAGAAAACTAGCTAAACTAATACATAACTTGCATTAGAATTTCTGCTTATTACCTATAAGCCTCCTAAATATTTTACTACTTGGGTTGTTGTACATCAACAGGCTTTACTGAGTAAAGGAAGAAATTGTGTTTTAACCAAAAAGCTGTTTTCTCCAATCTCCTGTTGTGACTCCTATCCAGTGTAGCACTTGTGTATATGCTTAACTTCAAGCATGTGAGCAGTCCAGTTGAAATCAAAGGGGACTACACACACGCTTAAAAGTTAAGCCGTGATCCGCTGAATTGGCACATATGTTGCTATCATGTTGGTAGGAGTTTATCCTAAGCGTTGAGTACAGTTAAGTGGTGCTGGCTTTAAAGATGATCTACTTTTTGTTTTTAAACAAGATATAGTGTTTTATAAGAATAAAAACCATCACCCAGGAGGAAGAGAATAGATGCTTGAATTAAAAAGCTGACACAAGCTGAGTAGCAGTGGTGTTTGGTGTCCAAGAAAATACATTGGTCTAGAATGGGGAGAACCCTTCAGTAAAAGAGAGCTCACCAAGCCAAACACTAATGGCTGCTGCATACTAAGAATTTGTAACCTAGGAGACTATCCACTTTTTAGCTGTCAAAAACAACTGGTGTGGTTTTCTGTTGATGTTCAGGACAACTTCTCAAAATACGCCTGCCACTTTTCCTTCTTAAAACATCCTTTTAATTTTGATTTCCCGGCATCTCAATCTGTTTATCATACATCAGACAACTAGTCTAAAATGTGATATAATGTTCTGTGTAAGCAACATAAATGTGTGGTTTTGGCAACAAGTTATTTGGCATCATATGCTTGTATTGGTTGTGTACATAGAGTGGTGGGAGCATTTACTTATTTTATTAACCTGTCACTGATTTTCTTCATTGTAATGTTAACTGTATTCAATTCCAGGAAGTGGAAACAGAGCAATACTTCACCCTCTTTCTGCCAGCATTAAAAGAGCGTGGATATGATGGATTTTTTTCTCCAAAGTCACGTGCCAAAATCATGTCTGAGCAGGAGAGAAAGCATGTGGATGGCTGTGCAATATTCTTCAAAACTGAAAAGTAAGGGGCAGCTTCACAGATATCTTCTTTTTTTATAAATGGAAAGAATCAAACCGCAGCCCTGGAAACATTTTTCCTTAAGTCTGAAAAAAATTAATGAAACTATCAGTTTGCTGCAATGGGTGGCAACCAAATTAGTATGCTGGAAAGCTAAAAATTGAAATTAATGTGAAGTACATTTTTTTTCATTGTCAAACAACAGAGTTGTGCTTCTGTTAGTGGTGTACTTACAATGGTACCTTTCCATTCACTTTGCAGATTATACACAAAATATTCCCCTCCAAGAAAGGGATATGAACTGAATTAATGGAATAGCTTCACTATATTGATACTAAGTTTCTAAAATCTACATACTATACAGGCAAAGACAGAGATTTTTACATCTAGAGGTTTGTTGCAGGCATAGGCCCACCGTCTGTATTCTGACTATAAAGTGGGTACACTTTTGTAATCTCTGTTTTGTGAAGAGAGCTATAGTTTTGTGCTGTAAATACCAGAAACTGTAGGTCGGGTGGGGAAAGCAGTGCTGTACGCAGTCCTTTTCCTCCTTGTACAAAATCTCATGATCATTTGCCAATCTTGCATCAATGACACTTTATTCTCTCTGATTTATAGTGTGCTGGTGGTTATAACCTGCTGTAATTTAAGGCTATGTGATGCTTCCATTGTAACTCCAATTCATACCTTTTAAAAAAAAGAAAATAGTTTGCCTTTTTGGGTTGAAATGTTCCTCGTTTGGAATGGTTCAGGTAGTTTTGGATAAGGGTTGTCTGTGAGGGATGGATGCACAGAGACACTAAGAACAAACCTCAACACATCTCTACCATGACACCTATAAGAAATCAGAGCCATCATAGAATTGTCTATCTGACCCTACATGTAGTCAACTTTCCTAGCTATAGTTTAAACAAAACAAACCTCTGAAAATAAATTGTACATATTTTACCTCATCCATTCTTCATTTTTCCCTTGCCTTTTTTAGGTTGTATGCTTTTGGGGGCAAGAACAGTCTTTTTTAGAGTATCTGAGTGTGAGTGAGACAATAGGCCCCTGATCTCATTTGGCACCTTTGGGAACTATACAGAGAATAATAAATTGGATGTTTATGGTAAACTTTAAAATGTTTTTAATGCAACTGCCTACTTATGGATAATGCTGTCCACATTTGCTGTGTGTTTTGTCTTTACTTTTTACATTGGTGGGGTTTTTTTGTTGTTGTTTGTTTTTTACAGATTTACATTGGTGCAGAAGCACACAGTGGAGTTTAACCAGGTGGCAATGGCTAACTCTGAAGGATCAGAAGCTATGTTAAACAGAGTGATGACAAAGGACAACATTGGAGTTGCTGTGGTGTTAGAGGTGCACAAAGAATTATTTGGAGCAGGTCAGTATAACCACCACTGATATCCTATGTATTGATAATGGGCAGTATTTGTTCAGATGTAATTTTTTTATAAGTGAATTGCTCCTCTGTAGACCAGTCGTGTAAGATATTACTGCATATAAGATTCTTGGCCAAATATTTGCAACGGAGCCCTGTGCAGTAGACTACTTCGATGAAAGCTCTTATAAAGTGGAAAGTTTCTTGGTCACTCTGAGATTAGATATGACACAAGTTGTTTTGAAAAATATATTTTTACTGTTTCACATCAAGAAGTTTTAACAGGAGCGTCAGGCATTTGGTATTCTACTCAAGATTCTCATTCTTCCCTACTTTGATTTTACTTTACTTTTCCCCAGGCAGGAGTACAGACCTCTCTCCCAATAGCTGTTAGTGCTGTTCAACTTTTCATCCTGATGTCTCTTTCCTCTTCATTTAATCCTTCACGGCGTCTCTGTGGCAGTGCTGATGTTCCTAACTGGTTATCAAACAGTTTTTTAATAAAGGATGATTAATTAGTGATGTCTCACAAATGTCATTCAAAGAATCACATGGCTCTTTTTTGTCACCTTCCAATTTTGTGGCCTTTTTTATATAGCCCTGAAATTAGTAGGCAGTCTCTAATTGCAATACAGGAAGAGTCTTTTAACTTCATCTCCTATCTAGTCTGTAGTCTCCGTCCTTAGGGAAGTAAAAGCCCTAGCTGTACTGTTTCAGCAATAGAACTCTTACTGCATGACCCTAATCAGGAGCTTGGCCTTTTCTTAGCGAACAAATTGCTATACCAATAGGCAAGAACCAGTCTGAAAAACTTCTGCGTTCCTATGTTAAAACACTGAATGGTGAGGAATTTTAGGTGGCTTTCTGTGCTTCAATTTTATTCTATTAAGAGAACCCAAAATTCAGATGGCTCCCTTCTAGTAGTTGGGGATTGATAATTTTTCAGGGTAGCAGTAGGTCTGACAATTTATCCCGTTGAGGGGGAAGGTGCAAGTTATGATGTTAGCAGTAGGGGTGAGTTGCCAAGGGTACACAGTTCCCAAGCAGTGTATTCCATAGACAGTCTGCTCTCTCACAGAAGTGGTGGTATACAACACAGCAGTGGTTATTGCACTGCTAAATAGGTAAGTAATTTTGTCACTGCTGTTGTTTGAGCGTTTATCTGCTGCTGTGAGTAATTCACATAATTGTACCAGTGTTTGGAAGACATAGCATGAATTATAGGTGACACTTTAATTTAGTATCCTTTTTTTTTTAGTACCCTTAGAAGGAGTTGTTTTAATTCTCTCAGATTAGACAGTCAACAGTCTTTCCAGGCACCATTTGCCTCATATATTCAAAAGTTTGTATTATGAGACCTGTAACCAAATAAAGTTAATGTGAAACAAAATGCATTGCTAGTGTGGGATAGAGCTTTATTTGATTTGTTGCTAGACTTACCTTTTTTTCCAGTTGTGAAAGTAGGAGTATTTCTTTTCTATTTATCTACATTTCTAGCTGATACAGGAGTGGCAGAAATTTTGTGTTATCATTTGTAACGAGGTGGAATTGAATACATTCACCTAATTGACTTCTTAATAAAAACTTCTTTTAATCCAGGTATGAAGCCGCTTCATGCCGTGGACAAACAGCTGCTTATTGTGGCAAATGCCCACATGCATTGGGACCCTGAATACTCAGATGTAAAACTCATTCAGACTATGATGTTTGTCTCAGAACTGAAAAATGTCCTTGAGAAAGCCTCCATCAGGCCTGGCAGTCCAACAGCAGATCCTAATTCTATCCCTCTGGTGCTGTGCGCGGATCTTAACTCACTGCCCGATTCAGGTATTTAGAAATGGTTCATCACGTTCACTATTGTCTTTGTTCACTTTTGATTTTTATTAGAATGTTTGAGTCAGCCTTCCACCCGACATTTGTATGGTATGCCAGTATATCCATTATTAATTATTATTATTATTATTATTATTATTATGGAAAGCTTTCTTAATAAAATCCATTTGTGGTTCAAAATTCCCAAACCAGTTAATATAACTCCTCTATTTGAGCTGATATCAAATACTTTTCAGTATGTTAGCACTTTAAATATTGGTCATGCGCAAGATTTGGTAAATATTGAGTATAATAAAAAAAGCATAAAAAGATCTAGGGTTGATATATTTCAACTCAAGTTTGATATAGTAGTAGTAATTATTATGTATCAGAAGCGTGGTATGCCTGTTTTAGACTAAGAGCTTGAGGAGTGTTAATATTTAGGAATTCGGAGTTCATGGTTTATTGCACTCTGGGTGAAAAGCTGACAAAATAAAATGAGGGCAGAAACTTGAGATGAATATACTGTAGTACTTCTGATATTTAACTCTGTAATCAAGGAGAAATATACAAGAAAACTTACTTAGTGCTGGCTGCCACTTTACGGTTAGTATTCTTACTGTGCTCAGGGTTTTGAAATGCTTATGCTGTCAAAGCTGGCGGTGAGCCCTTTCATTATATAGATGCACTCAGGAAGTCAGACCTCACTAAAGGTGACTTAAAAAAGAAAAAACTGGCGCGCGCACGTGCACACACACACTCTCTCTCTCTGTCTCTCATGTGGAGACCATGATCTTTCAACGTGGTTCTTAACCTAAAGGCAGGGTAGGCAACCTATGGCACGTGTGCCGATTTTCAGTGGCACTCACGCTACCTGGGTCCTGGCCACTAGTCTGGGGGACTCTGCATTTTAATTTTATTTTAAATGAAGCTTCTTAAACATTTTAAAAACCTTATTTACTTTACATACAACAATAGTTTAGTTATATCTTATAGACGTGTAGAAAGAGACCTTCTAAAAATGTTAAAATGTATGACTGGCATGCAAAACCTTAAACCTTCATTAGAATAAATGAAGACTCGGCACACCACTTCTGAAAGGTTGCCAACCCCTGACCTAAGGTATTTAAATACTGTGCATGTTGTGTTTCAATAATTAATTAAAACAACTAATTGCATCTTTGTTTTGCAAACAGGTGTTGTGGAGTACTTAAGCAATGGCATAGTAGCTGACAACCATAAGGACTTCAAAGAGCTGCGTTACAATGAGTGTCTCATGAACTTCAGCGGCAGTGGAAAAAATGGGGCTTCTGAAGGAAGAATCACGCATGGCTTCCAGCTCAAGAGCGCCTATGAAAACAACTTGATGCCTTACACCAATTACACCTTTGATTTCAAAGTAAGGGGTGATCTACTGAATTTAATTTCTCTTGGACTGAAATTTACCGTGAGAATTACCATGCTGGATCAGACCCAAGGTCCATCTAGTCCTCTGTCCTGTCTGTGAGAGTGGCCAGCATTAGATGCTTCAGAGGAAGGTGAAAGAATCTTGTAGCAGGCAGATGTGGGATAATCTGCCCCTCCAGCATTAGGTGTTATCCTAATCTCAAATACTTAAAGGTGGGCTTAATCCGTGAAGCTAGAGTCTAAATACCCCTTCCAGAATTCTGGATGTTCTTGTTACCCATATAAATGTCCAATCTCTTCCTGAATCAAGCCAAGTTACTGACCTCAATGACATTCCGTGGGCAGTTAGTTTCAGAGTCTAATTACATGTTGTGTGAAAAAGTACTTTTACAGGCTTTGAATTTGTTACCTTTTAATTTAATTGAAAGTTTGCTTGTTCTTGTGTTATGAGACAGTTTGCTCCAGCATCTTTTATTCTGACAGCTCAATCTCTGCTAGCACCTCATTTTTATGACCAACAAAGAGTGGGTTTGGAACAGGTATCTCACCAACATCTTTGGTGGTAAACACTGATACAAATAAATCATTTTAGCTTCTCACTGATTTCCATATCTTAATTGCACTCTCTAATCTGGTGTTCCAGCAACCTTCGATTGTTTGTTTCACAGGCTTCCTGCTTCTGATATTTTTACAGAATTTCTTGTTGTTATACCTGTTATCTATTTGCTCTTTGAATTCCATCTAATCCCTCTGAATTTCCTTCTTGCCTATTGCCTACTGTAGTTATGCTTCTTTTAATACTTTATTAGGTGTAGGTTTCCAAATTTTGAAGGACATCAACTTGTCTTGAATAATCTCTTGGACCTTGCTATCGAGTCATACTGGCTTACCACTCACCTTTCTGCTTCTCTTCTTGTTCAGCACCGCATGTATGCCTTTTGAGACTGTTCTGTCCTTATGTAACATCCAGGACAAATCTAAGGATTTTGTTTTCTTTACTTTTGATTTTGCAGCCTTTTTGACTGGTCCCTTCATTTTATTGCCTTCTCTCTTTTCTAAAGTTTAGTGTCACTGTGTTTGTTTGCTTTTTGGTACCATCCTTCCCCTTAGATTGTTGAATTTAATTATATTATGGTCGCTATTATTTGGAGGCTCAGCTATTACTACTTGAATCGACTTCTTTTGTGAGATGTTCAGGTATCTCGATTAAGAAACAGTACAATGAGGATGGAGGGAGAGTACATTTCTAGAGGATTGAAAAAATTGCTTCTGAACGTGCATAGTTGGCATCTAAGAGCTTGTCTACCTTACCCGCTGGATCGACAGGTAGCGATCGATCCAGCAGGGGTCGATTTATCACGTCAAGACTAGCGCTCTCCCATCGACTCTGGTACTCCACCAGGGCAAGAGGCACAGGCGGAGTCGACGGGAGAGCGTCAGCCTTTGACTTACCGCAGTGAAGACACTGTGGTGAGTAGATCTAAGTACGTAGACTTCAGCTACCTGAATAACATAGCTGAAGTTGCGTAACTTAGATCTTTCCCCCCCTCCACAGTGTAGACCAGACCTAAGACTTTGACTATAACTTAAGGTCCATGTCTTTGTGATGAGGAAGATGGAATAGTTCCTCTACCCAGCCTCCTGGGTGCAGGGGTTAAGGCGGTTGTATTAGCTGGTGGTTTGACTATGTCCGCTATGAATGGCGAAGGGCTTTCCCCCAAAAACTGCCTTATTAGGGACAGGAAAAACTTCTTCATGATGTCTGGTCAGTGTTTGCTCCATTTTGCAATAGTCTGGAAATTCTAAGCTCATGTAAAAAACTTCAAATTGAGTTACTTCATCTTATCAATAACTTTGCAAAGTTACAGTCATCAAAATGTAGCCAAGTGTGCTTCCACCCTGTTAATGCAGCCTTCAGAAAACTGTCTCCAGCCAAACAGTAGCAACCACAAAAAGGGAAATGTGTCCGTTCACGTCCAGTAAGGAACTATTTAAATACTAAAATTATGCACAGATAATATATTTTAAAGTAAATTAAATGTAAAATATGTTCATTGACTGGTAATGCAGAGTTAAAATAAAAAAGTAAAGATATTTAGAAAGACAGCACTAATCTGGCCACATGAATTGTAAAAACATGCTTTTCACATCAAGGAGTGGGAGCTAGCAAGCGTGTACAGCTGTGCCAAATACATTTTAGGACAATGTTAAACTATAACTTGTGACCTGTCCTCGTTTTAACAGACTGTTTCTCTCTCCCTTTAGGGTGTGATTGACTACATTTTCTATTCCAACACTCATATGAACGTGCTTGGTGTCCTGGGGCCTTTAGATCCTCAGTGGCTGGTTGAGAACAACATCACTGGGTGTCCACACCCTCACATCCCTTCAGACCACTTCTCACTGTTAACACAGCTCGAACTCCATCCTCCGCTCCTGCCTCTTGTCAACGGTGTACACTTACCTAACAGGAGGTAGTGGAGCCCTGCCCCTTTGAGGGCTGGGACCTGTTGTTATGGACCTGTACAGTTGTAAATCAAAGTATGTAGGAGTGAAGTATGGCCAACCTTGAGCTGCTTCTTCAAGCTCCTTTCATTGTGTGTTTTGATATGAGATTTTGCACATTTTGGTGCATGTTGGTATCATTTGGCACTAGGGCTGGAACCAAAGTATTATTCCCTTTCCAGGATTTTAATTTAATTTTTAAACTGGTCAGCTTATTGTTTCATTAGGAAGCTGTGTTTGTAAAATGGGCAAATCCGATTCACAACTTGCATCGTAATCTATTTAAAATGAATGCTTTCTTCCAAATCACAGCACAACAAACCCTCCTTTTTTTAAAAAGAAAAAATAGACTGATAAGTACAACACTTCAATCTGTTTCAGTTGTAAGGGAGAATAATTAGAAATACTATTTTACTGAACTCAAAATGGAGATCTGGGTTCTGCATCCAAAATTAATTTTGCACATTAGCAAAGCACTTAATATTTAACTGTAAATTATTAACAGTATAACCCTCCCCCCACATCTAGCTAATACTGGAAAACCAAAAATGGTTGCATATACATATTGAAGGGCTAAATCATCTCCTGGTGCAACTCCATTGACTACAATGGAATTATGCCATCAGAGAATTTGGACCTGAGCATTTAATGCCACATAGAACTCTTGGTTGGCGGACAACATGGTGGTAACTTTCTTGGAGCTCTTTTTTTGGTTAAGAAATTCAGGAATTCAAACGGATGGCCTGTTTTGAGAGGTCTAACTGAGAAATCTCCCTACTTTGACAAACCATGATGGGAAACTTCTGCAATGTAGGTTGGGAACAGGATTTAGAAGCATAAAATTAAGAAATTGCACTCAAAAAATCAGCTGCAAGTTTTCTTATTGGTGAGTTCTGGAAGAGCAAATACGTTCCAACTCAATCTATAGGTTCCCGTTTCTAATGTTCAATTGCAAAAATGATAAACTTTGGATTGGAGGTACTGGTTAAGCTAAGGTACAGGAAAAAAAACCCTCTGGAAATGATCTTACTTCTATCTCCAAAGTGAAGGTTAAATAGCTGTCTAGGTGCTTTTTTGTGTGTCGGGGGGAGAGTGGTAGCCATAATCATTCCTTGGATTATTTTTTCCTGACCCTAGTTGCCAAATAGCCATCGTATGCTTTTAATACTTTGTTTTTGTTTTCAGTCCAGGTTGAATTAAAAAGCTGCTGGTTCATTCCCAACTGTTAACGCTCTTTAGCTGTGTTGGAAATCTTTCTTTTTACGCTCTAAGGGGCCAGTTCAAAACGTTGTGCCTCAAGAGGCAGTAAACATAATGCAATTTTCTGAAAGAAATTGGTTGGCTGCTTAATGTTTAAAAAATATATATATGGCACCGTAATAGGAAAAGGTTGTGTCTGTGTTTTTAAGTTTTTCTTTATTCTGCTTTTTTGCTGCTATAAGATTTTCTTGAATTTATATTTTAAACTTTTCATGCACTTTACTGTTTCTAGTCTCAAAATGTGATATTTTTAATAAAAAAGAATTTTTCCATTTATGTGAATGAAATTTTTAAACAGATAAATAGCCTATATTTATGTCTCATTCATAGATTTAAAAAGGGTCACCTTTAAATTGTTAAATTAGTTTTAAATACTAAGGAGCAGTCTCCTGCCTTGCAAAACTAATACTTTAGCCTGTTCCACCATTCTTTAATTATACATTTCCTTCCTCATTGTTTTCATAGAAAATCAGGCTCTAGTAGAAAATGTTCCCTGTATTTGTTTGGGGGTGGGATGGGATGCAGCAGTTGGTTCAATGAAACCACAACTCCCTTTCCAAAGTGCCTTGGAATGGAGGCATCACCCGTCATCCAATATAAAATTGGAAGTTATTGTAGTTGAGTGAAATTTAATATAAATAAAAAATGTTGTGCAGCACAAGAAAACCCAACCAACCAACAAACAAAAAACAAAAACCGTTTTAAAGATTTTCCTCTAGGTGCAGGTATCTCTTTTTATATACCTCAAGTGTTCAAGGCCTAGGCATGCATATAAATTGAAAAAATAAGTAGCCTATAGTACTGGAAAGTAGAATAGCATGAAAAACTTAATTTTGTGGACATTACCTTTTTGTAATCAGCTACTGTATTCTTTTTGTTGTTGTTGTTTTTCTTTTGGAGGGGTGGGTTCTCTGCTCTGGAGATATGCACTAACAAACCATTTTCCTCCTTTCATACACGCATGTTAACTAGCAATGTGAGCAATATTTCCTACCATACTTCACTCCCAATATTTTTGAGATGTTTGTATAAAATGGAATTTAAAGTTCACCTATGATTGTATATGAACTGCAGAGGAGCCTGTTTATAAATAAATTTAAAAAAAAACACAATCTTTTGTAGTGTTGGGGGAAAATAAAAAAATTGGGCAACAGAAACAGCTTAAGTTTTATTTTCTTCTGATTCATAATTAATTTGAGGCACTCTGTTGCAGGAAGGTGTTTAATTGGGTTTTCTCTGCTTCAAAATGCATTCATCAGAATGTCCATTAGCCTGTTATTTAAAAAAAAAATGTAATTGACATTGCACAAAAACTTTTATGTTGAAATGGGTATTGTTTGTTTTAGTTGGCCCACATACCTGAGCATGTTTATCCAAATTTCATGTGTGTGGTTCTCTCCTTCCCCCCCACTCTCTCGCTGTATTGCCTTTTTTTTTAACAGAAGGGGCAGTATCTGTATTGAGCTTCCATTTCCGGTGATCAGAAATGCTGCTGTCCTTAGTGTTTTTGTTTAAAATACAGAAAATCTGGAACTCTGTCAATAATAAACTTAAGATGAATGACACCTTTAGATAAAAAACATGCGTGCGCATTATCCAGATGTCGACATACATTACCATATGTGTCTAGAGTGGAAACTCGTGGCTTTAAGTAGAAAACCTACACATTCGAAGTCTAGCTTTTCCGCAGTTGTGATTCTTCTGATTGCGAAAACTGAAAACTCAGTACCCTATAAGGTAGAGGGGTATGTGGGTGTGTGGGTGTGTGTGTGTTTTGGGAGGGGGAGCAGGCAGGGAAGAGGCAGCTGGGAAAGTGGTATCACTAATTTCACAATAGATAAATGTACAACAAAATACACACAATTATTCTCTCTTCATCACTGATGTTTGTCTCATAGCTTTAAACATTGGGAACACTGCAGCATCCTCAGGACTGGTCACAGGAAAAAAGTTCAAATTCACATACTGCTCCTTGCTTAGTTGGTTTTGTTTTAAAAATATTGTGCCTGGTGTCAACTTTTAAGCAACAGCACTGCCTAAAGGAAGCAGAGAAAAAAATTGAACACCGTTCTACAGGCAACTTTTTAAAATTCGATATGGTAAATCTGTTAGATATGAGGTTTTGTGTGTATATAAAAAAATTTTGTACAATGTAGCTGAATATTTTTGTTTCATTATTTTGATGTAAGGAGTGTGAACATTTTGTGTACCACACGTTGAAGTCAGGTATGGCACAATGGGTTCTGAGACCAGCTTTTCTTCCCATTTGCCTTGTTCAAAGCTTTTTTTCTTTCTTTCTTTCTTTCTGTTTCTAGCATTCATCAAGAAAATACTTCATTTTACCAATAAGCTTACTATGTGTTTGAAGCCACTCTTGTTTCTAGTCGGCAGAAATATAAAACCCTTTTTCTTGTTGGTTCCGACTACTCCTTGATATTCTATGTTTATAAACCGTAGCTAAAATCTTCAGTCCCTTAAAATCTTCAAAAGCACCTACCCCAGGGTTGGCCTAACTCTGTTCCCGGGATTTCACCATTGACTTCAATGGGGACAGAGTCAGGCCAATGCTGAGAAAGTCTGGAAAATCCCCCATCCTGGGTGGTTTTGAGTTAGGCTCCTCTCTCCAGGGACATGGCCAGATGCCGGAATTACAGTGGCCTGTTTTTCCAAGGTGCTGAGCACCTGCAGCTCCCATTTACTTCACAATTTCTGAAAATTCAGGCCAGTTACATTTTAGTGTCTGAACATGATTTTAGGAGCTTAACTTTCAGCACCTCGTTCTGAAGTCTTTGACCTAAATCACAAGGGAGTAAATAAAAAGATGATATTAAAGGCTCATATCACTTGATTCCACGGGGACTAAGTTTGGTGAGGGGATCACAGGTATGGAGTATAGAGAGGAGACAAGCTATAAAAGTTGGTTTAAATTCAAGGTTACTCTGTCTTGGTCGCACGTAATGTATGAGGGAAATATGCTGGGTAACTTTGGGCATTTACATCCATTCAAAGATTTCTTAAATCACTAGTGCATTATTAATACTCTTTCCATAATCTATTAAACTGAGACGAGGAAGGTGTGGGCAGTTAATATCAAAGATCAGATTTAAACCCAGCAACTGAAGTGACTACATTTCTATTATAATTCTTGGCTTTTGGCATCAAAACTTGGTTTGGCAAGATACTTGGCATACAAGATTTAGGAGTGGAAGGGGTTTTTAAATACTAATTATCAAACAATATTGATTAGATTGCTATTTAAATATCACAAAGGATTAGTTTGATATAGCCTCGAGTTCATATAAATTTAAAAAGGAAGTTGTAATAGTCATTAATCTTAAAATAAATGTTTTTTTTAATGGCTTGAGTATTGTACATATTTACATGGTTAATCTAGTATCAGTTATTCTGTACTGCCATGTAGATATTCTTTATTTACAAAAATCTAACTTCACAAAAACAAGGGAATGTTACATTTTAAGATTACATTCTGGAATGACACTTCATCTTCTATATTGGGAGATGACAGGTTGAAACATATGTACTTGGAGCATGTCTCACTGTTAGGAGATGTCTAAGCATGACTAAGTGAGGAAAGTGATGTGTCCTGCTTGTGTTAAAGTTTAAATTGCCTTACTCTTATGAGTTTCAGTGCTCTCTCTATTCTTTTTGTGATTTGATCCTCTGAAGTTTTAATACAATAGAAAACTCTCCTAGAATTGTGTGAATGACTCAATAGACTGTACAGTATTTGTGTAAATATACACTTAGGAACCTGAGTGGTCCATCAAGTACTTGATCTGTTTTATCAGTCTGCAGTAGGAAGCCATTAAGCTAAAATCAATCCTTTTAAAAACATGGAGCCAGACAGCATAGTTTGCGAGACTGGTCATGAGATAGCGAGCTGTTTACCTGGATTACCATTTCAGATGTGATTGCTTTTACACAATATTCATAAAATGAGTTGCCTGCTAGGAGGAGAAGTGACACCAAGGGAGACATGCTGGCCACACTGAAGTCAATGGGAGTTTCGACATTGACTTCAGTAGGGGAAGGATTTCACAGCACTTGTCCAGGTTATAAAACCACCACCCTTGCTAAAAATTTAACATCTGGATTGATCGTCTGAAATATTAATGGCTGAATACATGCAACAATTGGATTACTTCCACTTTCCTGTAGAGGTGGTCTGTCCAGAACATCATTGAGACGTCTTGGCAGAGCAACATAGGGAAGCTTTAATCGCCACTACTTGTACAGATGACTCAATTTGTTGGTACCGGAGAGAGGGGACGTTAAAGGGATTATTAAAAATAGCTGAATACGTTAGCTGACCACTGGCAACAGTGAAAAGTGCACTGATAAGGTCTGGGTCTGCTAAATTCATAATGTGAAAGTCATTCCATGTTAGATCTGTAAATATTTTGCAAGAATACAGTTAAAAAAAAAATCAGTAAAAAGTTTTCTATATTAACAGCTTTAAAAAACCCAAAACGTTTCTGGAGTCTTTATGCCAAGTGTCAGCATAGAAATAACTTTCATAAGTTTATAAACACTTTACAATGAGTTTT